ATTTATATAATATATTATATAAAGTAATTATAATTATCAGTAATACCACATATGAAATTTAAAGTCTTGTGAGTAGATTCATTGCACGTCTGACTCACATTTGACATTTATGTAGCTTTTGCTTGAGTCAATATAGTTTAGACATTTACAATATAGGCTTTTCACCCAAACTGCATTGGTTCCAGTCTTAGCTTTAAATTTTGGTGATTGTTCAACCTTCAGCTCCTGTGTCCCTTTCCCTCAACTGCTAGATGGATATAATAATATCCGTACTGAAGCAGCTACTTTGAGCATTAAATAAAGCTCTAAAGCACTTGGCAGTCAACAAATATTACTGTATTTACAAGAACTTACAGACTGGTTATAGACAGTAAAAGACTAAAAAATGTTTGAACTGAATGAATAATTAGGAATGTGTAATGCTTTCTGTAACTTAAAATGTTAGGCAAGTAAACGCTTAACATACCTTTTCTAGTCTACTCTCAATCTGGGGATAGTAGTAAAAATAGATTAAATGGTAAAAGACAGATTTCTATATATGGAGACCTAGTAAATACTTTCCGGGGTAATTTTACTGGCCAATCCAAGAAATCTGTCAAAGACTGGAGAGTTTCACGGTGATAAACACATGTGTATGAAAGTTTATGTTCATGTGTGGTAACCACTTGTGTGTTGTCTTTTCTGAAAATGATGAAACCTCAAAGGCTAAGATCACTGAAAATTAAAAAACAATGAATATTTTAAAATGATACAATTTAAAAAAGATTTCCTTATCTATAAGTGAATGTGTGGGGTGTGTGTGTGTGTGTGTGTGTGTGTGTGTGCCCGCATCATTGTGAGTTTATATGTATCACATATTTGCTCCTCCAGGGGAGAGAAGACAGGGTTGAGTTTCTTGGAACTGGAGTTACAGGTATTTGTGAGCTGCTACATGTATTCTGGAGCTATTTTATGAGCAGCAAGTACTCATAACTGCTTAGTCATCTCTGTATTCCCATTCAAATGGTATAGTTTTAAAAACTAATGAAAATAAAAAAAATATTTTGTGCAAAAAAGGAAGACAGTGAGCCATGCACATTTTAATTTAGAATGATAATTTTTGCTCTAACGGATTTCAAATACAAAACTGAAAGGATTTGGGGTATGAAATTAATAGAGGAATTAATTAAATATGAAGTTGCAGTCCAACCATGAATAAATAAAAGCCTAAAAACACTATTAAAAATGGAATCACTACTTTCCTTTCCTTATAGTTTTCAGTTCTGAAAATTTCTTTAAGACTTCAAAAAATTTGCCCCAATCAAATCACCAACATGATGTACAGATTTTCTAAAGCTTGAAAATAATGTTTATGAACTTAATTATTTATTGTAAGACAGGGTTTCTTGTAGGGCACGATGGCAACAGACTATGTAGCAAACATCATGTCCTCAAACTTCTTGCCTCCTCTCATCTTGGGATTTCAGGCCTGCAGCACCACACTCTCAATAAAACCCTTTTTATAATGAATATAAATATATTAAATGTGAAGAACGTTAAGGTTCATGAAGAAAATGAAATACTAATTAGGTCTCTCTCACGTGTGTGCATGATCACGTATGTGTGTATGTGCTGAGTCCGTGTACACACGTATCGGGCCAACGTCAGCTGTCTTCCTCCACTGCTCTCAGTAAGATCTTTGAATACACTGTCTGACCAAGCCCTGAGCTCACTAAGTTGGTTGGACTGGCTGGGCAGCAGAATGCTAATCTTTTCTCTGCAGTATTGGATTTACATAAGCACACCATACACGGCTCTTCACAGGAGCTCCTGGGATCTGACCTCATGTGCTGACACTTACAGGAGAAGGAGCTTACCTACCGAGTCTCTCAGGATTTGTTTAAATTGTCAGTTTTTCATTGGGGTTAGATAAAAATAAATGAAAAGTGGCTGAGTGTTGGCTATGTGAACGCTAAAGAGGAAATTAAATATGTTGTACACATCTTTACAAATCAAAACACTCAAAATACCATCAGTAAAACGTATTTAGGTTTGGGTTCGTAGGTTCCAAAAATATGCTATATATAATTTTTTTTACTGCCTTTTAGGAGAAAGAGTATTTGGCAAATATAGGCTTAAATTATATTGTATCTTACTTATTCAATGGTTGTTTAATCCCACACTAAATCTTGTAGTGGATCAGATAAGGAAAACTGAATGGTTTTCATTTTAAGTATACAATTTTGATGCGAGTATATAAAATACATTCAATGTATATGAGTGATAAATATGACACACAGGAAAATCCACATATAAACACCAGATTTGGAAAGCAGTATTTTTATTGGTTTTGTTAAATTATGCAGTTGATCAGTTTTGAGGCTGAGCTCATACATAATATATTTTTCTACAGAGGAGCCATGGAAAGCATTTCAAATCACTCGTATAGAATAACATCCTAACTCTCACTTGAAGAGCCCTTTCCTTAAACTATAAAGCGGAAAGATGAGAGGGAATGACCTCACCATAGAGTCATTTACCTGCATAGCTCAGGACGCTATGAAGCCTAAAACCTTCCTGGGAATGCTCAGAGCAGTGTCTTGATTTCAAATATGCCTTTCAGCCCTTTTGGATACCCATAGTGAAATCAGCGGCTTTGGAGATGAGAATAATATGTTAAAGTTTAAAAGGACCATCAGAAGAAACTAGAACCCCTGCACAGATGTAGCCCATGGAAGCTCAGTCTCTAAGTGGGTTCCCTAGTAAGGGGAACAGGGACTGTCTCTGACATGAACTCAGTGGCTGGCTCTTTGATCACCTCCCTCTGAGGTGGGAGCAGCCTTACCAGGGCACAGAGGAAGACAATGCAGCCAGTCCTGATAAGACTGGATAGGCTATGGTCAGATGGAAGGGGAGGAGGTCTTCCCCTCTCAGTGGACTTGGAGATGGGCATGGGAGGAGTTGAGGGAGGGGAAGTGGGGTTGGGAGGGAATAAGAGAGAAGGCTACAGCTGGGATACAAAGTGAATAAACTGTAATTAATATAAAAAATAAGTACAATTTAAAAAGAAGAAATTAGAAAACACAAACTTATAGGTTATGTTGTTTTATCTTTTGCCAAATAGGCATGTTTTGAAAATTCTGAATGTGTAAGAACCTTTGCATTATTCCAAAAGTTTGCTTAAGAGTCTTGGGTCTCAAAGAAGCCAAAGAGGGGCCAAGGAGGAAGCTTGAATCTCACTCAGAAGAGGAAATAAAAAGACATCTGAAGTAGATGGAGGAAGGGAACTAGGTGGGAGAGGGGTGAGGAGGTGGCAGGGGTGGGGATCAGAGAGTGGTGGTGGGAGGGTAGGCATCTCTGGGACAGCAGAGGCTTTAGGTAGCCTATGGGTGACCCTAGCTGAGACTCCTAGCTTCTAGCAGCGGGGGTTAAAGAGCCTTCAGTCACCACCTCCTACAGCCAGGTGACTTCCAGTTGTGGGAGGGGGACACCTGCCTGTCCATAAGACCTTTGAACCAAAATGTGTCTCACCTACAAGAAGTTTAGGGGTGAGGATGGAGCGGAGATTGAAGGAATGGCAAGCCAATGACCGTCCCAACTTGAGACCCACCCAGCCCTGTCACCATTAATGATTCTCTGCTATGCTTACAGACAGGAGCCTGGCATAAGTGTCTTCTGAGAGGCTTCATCCAGCAGCTGATGGAAACAGGTGCAGAGAGTAATAGATGAATAATAGTCCCAGCTGGGGAGTCTTGTGGAAGAGTGGGGGAAGGATTGAGGAAGCCAGAGAGGTCAAGGATACCACAAGAAGATCTACAGAGTCAACTAACCTGGGCCCATGGGGGCTCAGAGAGACTGAACCACCAACCAAAGAGCAAGCCTGGGCCTGATCTAGACCCTACACATGTATAGCAGGTGTGCAGCGTGTTCTTCATGCAGGCTCCCTAACAAGGGGGTAGGGGCTGTCTCTGACTCTCTTGCCTGCCTCTGGTTCCCTTTCCTCTATCTGGGCTGTCTTGTCAGGCTTCAGTGGGGATGTGCTTAGTCCTGCTGCAGCCTGAGGTTCCAAGGTGGGTTAGTACCCCTTGGGGGCCTTCCCTTTTCTGAGAAGAAGAGGGGGTAGTGGGGGAAAGAGTGCACGAGGATGTGACTGGGAGGAGGGCAGGGAGGGGCTGGGATCAGGCTGTAAAGTGATTAAATAAAAATAGATAGATAAATAAATAAATGAAAAGATCCAAAACAACAACAACAACAACAGAAAACCTCTTGGGTCTTATTGTTCACACTTCACTTCACTTCACCTTGCATGTGTGGGTATGTCCAAGGAAATCTTCTCCAAGTGTCCCCTCTCCCTTTACTTCTCAGTAAAGCCAAACACTCCAGACAGGTTCTCTTCATGCAAGAGAACTGTAAAGCCAGTTAGCCGATTAAATCTGCCACCTGTCTGCCACGGGGAACATAACCTTTATACACTCCCATTTCCGTTCTAGAATACCATTTCCTCTACCCTGATGCAGTCTGCTTTCATGTATAACAAGAAACATATTTGATCGTTTATCTTATTTAATTTTTAATATCACTTTGGGAACCCAGGTTAGGTGCTCTGGTATTGTCTAGAAGTCAGACAAGTTGCTTTCCAGAACTTCTCTGATGAAGGTCACAGCATTGTACATACTTGTGAGCTATGGCAATGTGGCCCTGGGGATTTGATTTCCGAACATTCATCATTTAATGGAAGAAAAAGGATCTCAAAATCTAGTTTTGTAAACTATGCCCATCCTACTTTTACTCAAAATAATATTATAAAACTAGTCTCAGGATATTTGTAGAGTAAGAGGGAAATGCCCCCTGATATTGGATAGGAGATTAAAAAACAACAACAACACCAAAAAAGACAAGTTAGTTTATTAACTCACACTGCTTCAACTTTTTAATTAAGTTTTTGTTTTGAAGGTCCAAAGTCAACACTACTGTAAATATAGGTTTTTGCCTCAACTTTTTAACTCCCCCATGTCACTTACTTGTTTAAGCTTCTTTAGATCTTCATCAAGTTCTAAGTTGTCCAAAATAACAGCAACAAACAAACTCAGGAGGATCTATAAAATGGTTAAATAACAATGAAAATACCCACATGCTATAGGTATAAAAACTTCATATATAATATAGAATATATACCTAAAAGTTTTTTGATAAAAATCCATCAGTTGAAAATTATAAATATATGCCGTGAGTCATTGCATAGACGCTTTAAAGTGCATGTCGCAGACACAGGAGATACAAAAGTTACATAAACAGTAAAAATATCAACTTACTCAGGAAGGAAATTTAATAAGAGAGCTCTGATTATTTTAATTTAACAACCCCATCTCTGAAACTAACCTAAGAAAGTATCTGAATTAATGATTAAAAGCTTAATATCCAAAGGTGCTAACTGGATGGTTGCTTATAAGGATGAAATCCTGGAAATGACATCTAAACTTTATAAGGAGGAAACACTACCCTCAAACTATAAGAGAACACAACACTCAAATTTATACTGATTTTAAAGATTTCCATGGCAGCAAGTAGTCTCCAAGGTGTCCCATAGTGTTTCTGTCAGCTCACAGACTGAATACGGAACCACAAGATAACAAAACAGAAGCAGGAAGAGGCAATGTAGATACTACTCTACACTCTCTCGGCTGAGTGGCTCAGGGGGAAGCTGGAGCCAAGTGTGGGCAGGCGCCGTGAAAAGTCCTGTCTGCCGATGAACTGATACTTCTTGCCTGTAGCCAGCAAGGAACCTTCCAACACTCTTGTGAGAGACCTGGATTGGAGGCAGATGCTCAATTCCAAGTGACCGCAGCCCCAGACATCCTGACTAACCTAAAAGACACTGAAACATACCCAAGCAAGCCTGTTCCAGATCCCAACTGAGAAAAATTGCTCAAGATAAACGTTTCTTTGTCAGTAAGTTCCCAGAATGTAGACAAGTTTTTTTATAGCATTGGGAAACAACTTATGAAATTTTACGGTACCAAGAATGGTTCCTCTATAAAAGTAAGAGTATATATGGTGAGAGACCAGCAACATAGAAAAAGTGCTTAAAGAGGTATCCAGACCAGGTGATTTAGCCTGGCAATAATGTCTATCTTTGTGTAGCGATGATAAATTTTTACCTTTCATATGTTTTGAGATATTTCACCAACTAAAAAATGACACATGCTTCTTTTGGAATTGGTAAATGTGGGAAAAAAGAAAACAAACATACAATAGCATTTAAAATATTTTAATTTCTAGTCTTTCCTGTGCGTGGAGTCAGTCCCTGAGGTCCCATGTTTGGCTCATTGCTGTTTTCACTCCTCATTTACATTCTTTTTTTTTTTTTTCAATTTCCCTCTGAAAAAGTTATTGACATGTCTTAATATTTGATGCTTGAACCAAATGGCAAGAAAGTTGAGGCAATTGAGTTGTGAGTTGTTGTACCAGAGATTATTATGCAGAATATAGTGGTTCTTTCTGTTCCAGGTTTAATAAACGGATAGCAAAGGGGCAGGGTTGTGAAAGATGATTAGCTTAGCTGGGACCTAGTGCCACATGCTTCCTTTTGTAGCCCAGAACTTGGAGACATTTCATTGTGATCCAGATCAGAGGCTTTTCCTGACGTTACCATGTCTGATCCACCCTGTCATTTAGGTCAGGCTCACTTGAGAGTCGGCATTGTTCTAATCAGGGCATCTCACAGTTCTCTCCAAGCTTAGCTCCTTTCCTGTGACTTGGTGATGGAAAGCTATGGCTCAGAGGAACAGTTTCCTGTATCCACATCCACCGCTGAGAGTAGGCACTTCAGCAGGCCTTGTTTAATACCCTGATTCAGCTGGGTGTCCTGTCTCCCCAGAAAATATGTAAACAAACATCCAAAAAGAAAAAGGAAAGATCCTCAGTGGTGGGGGTGGGGTCTACCCCTCCCCTTTTCTTAAGCAATTCCTTAGAAACATGTTCACTTTCACACTCTTCTCATTGTCTATGAGCTGTGTACACAGTTACCTCAGAATTTTACTCCTTATTATTCAGGAAAGGTACCTTTTTGTTGTTTCAGGCTTTTTTTTTTCTTGGACCCAAGAGTGAGAATTGTATCTTTAAGATGTAAACAACTACTAAGGACCTCAGGTTCCCATCCTGGTGGGAGGATGGAGATTTCCCTAGTAATCCTGTTTCAAGCTGTCCTGGAGATATACAGCTCTTTGTCTGTCTGGATACGGACAACCAGCCCAGCCTTGAAAATCACCAGGTAAAATTCATATGAACTATGTGCCCCAACTAGCACTGTTGAATCGTTTTGAAAACTGCCTGTTCCTATCACTGGAAACACGCATACGCAGACTGACATTTTCTTTCTGCCTTTGTTATGCCTACTAGGTCACCTGACATTCCTACCTTGGCTTTGGCTCAATGCTTCTTCAAGAACAAAACTGTTGTTTTTTTTTTCTCTACTGCCTTCATGGAGAGGTTGGTAGCTTAGCACATTTTACTAATTATTTCTCTAGCACTCTCTAGATGGGGAGCTATTGAAGGACAGTGACATTACTGTTATTCTATTAGAGTAAAATTTGATAAACAGTTCAGGGGATTCTGGGAATGTATCAGACACAGTCTAGTTAAGACTCAGATGCTCTCACAGTGGAGCACAACTGAATTCAGCAGGTATGGGTTATAACTACACAGGCAAGAATGCTGTGGTTCAGAAACAGGAGCTGTTCCTTACTTTTTCTGGGGCAATCACTAGCCCATGGAATTTACTGTGCTGTATTAAGGTATTATGGTTATCATATTAATAGTCAACAATAGTTCAGGAAAAATGTGCAGCCAGGTCTTGGCTATACAAACATGCCAATGGATGCCAACACAGTTACCACTTCTTGTTTTCTAAGGAAACACTCCTCTTCTTTCTTCTGTCCCCTGAAATAATTCAGGCTGAAGTCTGTAGGAAAGCTGGAACAGAAGTGTGTTTTTTGGCTGCATAAGGCTGAAGACTGACACCAGAGACTAACAGTTATTTGCAGTTTATAAATTGAATGCTGTACCAGCTGAGCATGTTGGTTTCTGAAAGCCCATTGGGACAGATGCGCTAAGGGCATAGTTAACACTGTGCAGCAATGAGGAGACTCAAGGATGCACTCAAAGGCAATGAAATACCAAGGTGACTTTGGCATGAAAGGAAACGTGAGGAAACCATTCCAGGATGCTGAAGAGCACATGGCTTATTCTGTGGGAGCTGAGAAGGTGAGTCCAGTCAAAGCCCACCTTCCAAAGACACTGGGGAAAGGGAAGAAGAATCTGGGTTGGGGCTGGCAATCTCACAAGTGCCCCAGGCTGAGGTCAGGGAATGCAGAAGGGGGTTTTCAGCACCATGAAGTGATGCTCATAGTTACTTCTCTATTGGAATTTTCTTTCCAAAGTTTGGGGATCTTGTTGTTACTTGTTTTTGTGTTTAATGCACCTCCTTTGTAAAAAATCAGGTGTTTGTAGGTGTGTGGGTTTATTTCTGGGTCTTCTTTTCAATTCCACTGACCCACCAGTCTGTTTCTATGCCAATACCATGCAGTTCTTATTACTGTTGCTCTGTAGTACAGCTTGAGATCAGGGATGGAGATACCTCCAGAAGATCTTTTATGTTACAGGATTGTTTTAGCCATTCTGAGTTTTTAGTTTTTCCATATGAATTTGGGAATTGTTCTTCAAAGTCTGTTCTTCAAGAATTGTGTTGGTATTTTGATGGGAATTGCATTGAATCTGTAGATTGCTTTTGGTAAGATGGCCATTTTTACTATGTTAATCCTACTGGTCCACGAGCATGGGAGAGCTTTCCATCTTCTGAAATCTTCTTTAATTTCCTTCTTCAAAGACTTGCAGAGACTGATGCACTAACCAAGAATTGTGCATGGAGAGTACCTAGACCCTTGCTCAGATGTAGCCCATGGCAGCTCAGTTTCCATGTGGCTTCCCTAGTAAGGAGTTCAGGGGCTCCTGACATGGACTCAGTGGTTGGCTCTTTGATCACCTCTCTAGGGAGGAAAAGCCTTGCCAGGTCACAGAGGAAGAGGATGCAGCCAATCATGATGAAACCTGATAGGCGAGGGTCAGATAGAAGGGGAGGAGAACCTCTCCTATCAGTGGACTAGGGGAGGGGCATAAGGAGAGACAAGGGAGGGAGGGTGGAACTGGGAGAAGATGAGGGAGGGGGCTACCGCCAGGATGCAAAGTGAATAAATTATAATAATAATAAATAAAAAAGAAAAGATCAAAAGAATATTTAATAATGTAAAAATTGTGTGAAATTCAGAGTTCAGTGAATAAGTAAAGTTTTCCTGAAATGTAAAACAAACAAATAAACAAACAAAAACAAAAATAAAAAAAACAAAGCCTCCCACTAAGTTGCTTATGGTCTTGTTTTACTATAGCAATAAAAACTCTAACTAGAAAAAAATAAAACAAACAAACAAACAAAAACAGTGGTGTTGGGAGAGATTGGAACATCTAGATGCTGGTTCAATTAGCATAACACTGTTGGAAAAGGAAAAACCAGTGAATGGCAGAAAGGAAATCTAAGGTCATGTGAAGACAGGCTTCTTCTGAACACACGTTGTTTCAGGGTGGTCTTTGTCCCTGGTGTGAGGTCTGTGATAAGGTGATGACTTGCCACTCAGACTGAGAAATAAGGGAAGGCTGGACTGAGAACAATCTTTTGGAACAGAGATGGAAAGTTCAGGAAACCAAGGTGAGCCTGCAGCTGATTGCAAGAAAGTGAGAATTACTTTATGGTTTTTTTCTCAGACTCTAATAAGGTGACAAAAACCACTGGGATGAAGAAATTGAAGCGAGGAAAGGCTGGCATCATGCTTTCCATCATGTTTCATTTACCCTGTCAACAATACATCATTTTCCTGTAAGCCCAAGGTGGAAATGGAAGGAGGAAACAGGCTGGCTTGGGTGTCAGCCACTTACCAACAAAAGGAATGGGAAGTTGTGGAAATGTGTGACAGGTCCTAATTCTGAAAGCAAGAGTATTACTAGGTTCTTGGGCATTTCTGTTTGATTTATCATTACAGAAAGCTGA